TGACTCTTTGTATAATATATTGTAAAACTGAAGAAAACCAATGTATGATAAACATGTTAAATAATGTTAAAATTACCTTTTTGTATCAAAGCATTAACATTCCAGATCTACAAGCAAACATAAGTAGACAGCTCAAAGATAAAGGTCCGGAAATCCATAGTGAAACTGAAAGTTCAAGAGATAAATAAAACCTGGAAGTACGAATGGAAACTGAAAGTACAAACAAACACGTTGGTTTATTTTGACTAATACATGTTTTACCACCGTGTATAATAGGTAACGAATGGAAAAATTATAACGGTAACACAAAAAAGCCGAAACGAGTACAACAGTAATACATGTACATGTTTAAATTATTTCATGAAAGTGTTTTTTTTTCTTTCAAGATCATTCGATCGTGAATGAGACGACATGGCTAGCGTATTGAAGGCGACTTTTATGTGTGACATTAGCTTGTGTTGAACAGTTTGGACAGTTTATTTAAAATGCTAGGCCTCTTAGAGGCATAAGTCACATATACAATAATATACATAATATGAAATATCATAGAGTTCCACGAAATATACTAATGTACTACATGGCAGATGTATAAAAACGAAAGTGTTACATTATGAAATATATATATATATATAGTTACTTAAATGCTGATATATATTTTTTTTTACAGAATACTGCAAGTTTTAACAATATACATGTGTACTCTATCTGTGCTATTCATTAACATAGAAAACTTGAAAACAGCATCATCTTAAAAAGTATACATATACATCTTGGTAAGGTATGTCATTTTTGCCGTATGCGCTTATTCAACAAAACATGTATCAATTAAGGCCACGTACGTAATGCATTTGTGTCATTCGTGTTTTCGCCCCGCGACCCCGCCAAGCGATAAATCGAGAATTAACAATTTAAAACGGCGAGGTCGCGGGACTAGCGAGGGCGCGGGGCGAAGTTTAATAAATAAAAGTTCGCCACCGCGCGGGCGCGGGACGAGATTAAAGAAATATAACGGCATGGTCGCGGAGCGAAAACACGCTAATTAGCGTTAATTTTCGACTTTTCGCTCTTGGCGGGGTCGCGGGGCGTAAACACGAATGGTACAAATCAGCCACCATAGTTTACTCTCGTTTACTTGATTTAGATAACATCTGACACGAATTTTCTTATTTAAATGAACGCCACACTATCGACTTTTGTCGACAAAATCTACCTTAATGCAAATGCAGACATTTAATATTTTCTAATATTTACGTCACTGATTTAAATGTACATGGACATGATTATTCTTTCAAAAGATGACAGCATTCTATATAGTAGTTCGAAGGAGCTAAAATCATTTTACTAACCAGTATAAAGATATCTCCGTAAGTAACCGACTGCAAATCCCAAATGATTTCTTAATAGATGGTGATAGACAAATGGCTCTGTACAAAAGTTTTACCAATGATTCTGACATATTTATCATATATAGCCTTACGATGTTGCATATTGTGTCTGGGCAATACCGTCTGCATGGATGATTTGATCATTACTTGGTGCACATAACCACCTTCAGTAAATGATGTTTATCCTCAAAAAAACATGACACTATGTCTAAGGCCAAAGTTACTGCAAGGGTTTAGACCTGGTATATTTCTCATTGTTTCTTCAGCGCAGTTTTGGATAATGTTTAAATTTAAAAATCATTTGGTTCACACGACCTTTAGAAGATATTGATGAATTGCGTCATAGTCCAGCGGGGTATATAACTTATAACCTATAAATTTTAGGCCTGAATGTTTAGGTCCATAAATTTGTGTGTGTGATTTTTTTAAGTTATTGGTACACATGTCTAAGATTAGTACAGTATATTTCATGTGGAAGACCTACGTCAATATATTGAAAGTCCAGGTCCACTTAGATAATTGAACTCAGTTTATCTTTAATACATCCGTTATCTTGGTAAGTGCAGTTTTTACCTGCAACTTATCTCTTTAAGAAACATTACTTTTCTAACATGATATTTACAGTACTTTTTTCATTATTATTAAGTCCTTTTTCAATAATGCAGTATAGGATTTCATTGAAAGCTATTTATGAACACCGTCTGCAAAATTTAATAAGTAAACAACCTCAAGTCCGATTCCAACAAACTTTGGGAGTTTTTTTTTTTGTTTTTCAAGGGATATAAGTTCATGCATAAATCATGTTTTCAATGCAACCAAAAGAAGTAATAGGAAAGCCTAATCATGGCTTCTGAGCCCTATTGACCTTGCCTCAGGGGCATATAAGTTTATATCAGATATATTGGGACATTTTTAAAACATCTTCAGAACTGCAAGGGGTTTGCTTGGCGCATTACATTAAGAAACTTTAAGTCATCCTTTCAAATCTTGGTTCCTGGGGTCTCGCTATAGAATATATTTTTATGATAAGAAATATGTAAGGATAACTTAAATAAAACACTCCATCTTTAGAACTACATAATAGCTGCAGAATAACCTAGAAGACCTAATTTGCTCGAATCATGATTCAATTATTCGAATTGGGGCTTACACTGGGGGACATTATTAGCTCACCTTGCAAATAGTGTTCAAAATCACTCTGCGTCCGTCGTGCACCGTTAATGGCGTCAAATATTTTCTTAAAACAGCATTGCCTCCTATACAAATAGTGCAATTTATTTTTTAAAACTTAAAAGGAAGGACCCTGGCATGAATCTCTTTAAGAATTCTATTCTATACAGAACTCTGGTTGACATGATTACCGAAAGAAAAAACTTCTTCTCCTAAACCACATATGAGCTACAGCTGAGATATTTGGCGTGAAACGATAAAATTAAAGCTCTGGGGTCAAAATTTGCCAATCCCGTTGGTCATATATTTTCCAGTAAAAAAAAAAAAAATTTTCTTTAAATCTATTAAAGCTTAATCAGATATATGTGGCACGAAACTTTTCCCAACGAACCTCTACCAAGTTTGTTCAAATTGGCCCCACCCAAGGGGTCATAAACTTTTCTTTTACATGTATGTGAAAAAAACACTTTAACCATGAAGACTTGCAAACATTGTCATTCTATAACAACAATGGACTTAACTTAGCAACCATTAACTTTCCGTAGCATCCATTGACCTTCCGTAGGAACCAGTGACTGACATAACAACCATTGACTTTGCATAGAAACCAGTGACTTCCTTAGCAGCCAGTGAATTCCATAGCAACCACTGACTTTCCATAGCAAAAAGTGTCAAGTTTCATACCAGGCGGTGACTTTAACAACAATTAACCATTTACTTTCCGAAGCAACCAGTGACTGTCAAAGCAACCATTGACTTTCTAGAAAAAAAATGGCTTTCCAAATCAACCATTTACTTTACTTAGCAACCTGTGATTTTACAAGCATTGACTATCCTTAGCAACAAGTGGAATTAAAAGCAACCTCTGACTTTCTATAGCAAAAAATAATTTCCATTGCCTTTCAATACCAACCATCGGACTTTCACACCATTATTTGACTTTCTGTTGAATCATATTTCCTAGCAATTATTGTCTTTCAAAAGTTACTTTCAAAGTCATTATTGTCTTTTTACATAGGAAACAGTAATATCCATATACTTTCTATATCATCAGTGACTTTCATAGCAACCATTGACTTTCCATAGATACCAGTGACTTTCATAGCAACCAATTCTTTACTTAGCAAACTGTGATTTCTACAATCAATGACTTTCCTGAACAACCAGTGACTTCTCTTTGCAAATGATAACTTCCAAAGACATCTATAGCATTTATTACTTTATATTGCAACTATTGGTTTTTTTTACAGCAATTGTTGACTTTCCCTAGCAACAACTTACTTTACATAGCAACTAGGGACTGACATGACAACCAATGACTTTCCATAGGAACAATTGTATTTCATCGCAAACATTGACTTTTGTAGCTACAATTAACTTCATTGCAAAAAAATGAACTTCCATAGTAAACCGTGACTTTCTTAGAAAACATTGACTTTCTACATGGCAACCAGTGACTTGCAAAAGAAAACATTTACTTTCTAAATCAACGGGTGAATCTACCAGTGACTTTCATAGCAACTACTGTCCACAGCAACTATATTTTTGTATAGCAAAAAGTGACTTCAATAATAACTGTTGATTTTCAGATGTACGTGTATGTGGGTATATTATCAGTTTGAGATTGAGACTTTATATCTACTTTTCATAATAGTTCAAAATATTAATTGGTCCCTGTCATGCAGAACCTTCACTAACAGGTGACCGATATCATGGTCATATTTGCCCTCTTGTTTAACAGAGGTATTATATTGAAAACCTAAACATCTGCTTCTTCAGAACCACATGGCGGAAAACAGTTGAAAACTATACTAGGGAAACAAAACAATATTTATTTTGCCATATATAAAGATGTGTCCTGGAGAAACAAAACAGTATCGATCTGGCCACACTTGAAAGCTGTATTAGACAAACAGAACAACGAGAATCATTTTGCCACAGTTAAAATTTTAATTTTAATATAGCAGAATTTGTTTTAATTTGACTTATGATATTAGCAGAAAACAGTAGTATTCGTCTTGGTGTTATAATCATAAGTTTTCTAAACGTTAAAAAAAACTTAAGCAAATAAGACAATGACTAACAATTGTGAATATAACAAGATAACAGGAAAAAGCCACAAAGGTGAAGTTTTAGCAACCTTTATCGATAAGCATATATGAATTAACAGGTCTTAATTTTCAATCTATCAGTCTATTATTTTATAGATTATATGCTATTTGAAACTATTTATATACATTGTTTATTTATTCCGTTTTTTCTTCCAAAATATTCCTTATTTTATATTTCTTCTTTTAACGGTCAATTTTATATACGTTAACATCCTTTACGTATCCAAAATAAAGTCTATGATTACTATTACAATACGTTATGTTACTACCCCCATCGTCAATAAATATGTGTCCATATCTGAGATCTCCGGACAATTGGTATATGCTTTCCTCACAACAAACATAAATGTAGCCTTCATTATCTACTGTCATTTGTTAAGGACTTGTCATGTATCTATCTCTGTAGATTGCATTCACTTTGCCATCTAATGTCAAAGATGTCACGTTGTTTTTAGTTGGTTCCGTTAGATAAATGTGTTTCCCATCTGGACTGAAAGCAATACCTGTATCAATATCGGTGGCATAACGTGTCGGGAATGTTTTGAAACGGTTTCCTTCCATATCAAGTATTATTATTTCCTGCTTGCCTATCATAAAGAACTTTCGATTTTTGAAAATAAATGACCTTGATAAACTGAAGTTTTGAATGTTGATCAGAGAACATTTGCATATGTTACCTGACAAGTCCACTGAAAGTAACTGAATTTTATCTTGGCAACCAGAGGTCAGTAACACTGCCAGTTGGTCAGTATTTACATTAGTCATTCTCCAAGCAAATTCACATTGTAAAACAATTTTATCCACTACTTGTGTATTCCGTGTATCAACAACATAAACTGTTTTGCGTTCGCCTTCAAAAACTGCAAGAAAATGATTTTGAATTGTGGCCAGTCCCTTCACCCAGATCGCATCATTATCTTCACCTATGTCAATGTTTGATACAAAGTTTGCTATTCTTAGTCTGCCAATTTCTATCGTATTTTGTTTTTGTTTCGGAGGAGTAAGAAAGAATGTCTGTATTCTACTTTCCTGTCTTAACTTTTCATATTGTTTGTCTAATTTATCGAAGCTTTGTTTTGACTGTTTCATTGTTATAAAAAGTTCACAATTTTTATTCGCTTTCTTCTTAGATTCTATACTGGTTTTAATCTTGGTAAGACTATCTTTAATCGAGTCAGCAGTGCCACTAGCAGCTTGTATCCCTTGCTTGTTAGATTTGTCAATGTCTTCCATTCGTCTATCAACATCAGCCTCTAATTGATCAAAAAATTTGTTGATTTCATAACGTTGTTTTCTTAACTCTGCCTTTCCCTGTTTCGTTAAATCACCAGATATATTTGTTTTTACTTGAATCCTGTCCATGTAATGATTAATATATTTAAATTGGCTTTCCAACTCGCTTAAAAATGTTTTAAATTCTTCACTCGAGTTAAGGTCCTTGGCAATATCAGGTATATGGTCGACATTTTCACACTGACGGTGACTGACAGTTATACAAACACTACAACCAAGTATGTCACACGACCTACAAAAATATTCCACAATTTTGGTCGGATGATTGCCACATCTCTCTACACAAACATCATGAGCACGAGATTTCCGTGAATCAAATGGCATCTTATCTTTATCTTGAAGCACATGGTGTTTAAAAGCTTTAAACCTTGTATGAATTTTGTAACATTCTACACATAAGTATTCCGCACAGTCCACACAGAATCCCACGGCTTCGATTTGCTTACCACCATCTAGACATGGTTCACAGTAAATATCCCTTAATTCATCAGATGCTGCTACCACGGATCTGCTATAATCTTTACAGGTTGCCATTTGTGTTTTTTTTTGCCAAAGCCGATTATCTATCAACCATTGATTCTTATTTCTTTTTTAAATCCAAACATAAGCGTGTTAAGAAAAAAAATACAAACATACACATGCTTTTTGTTGTTGTTGTTTTTTTTTTGTTTTTTTTGTACATATCCGATTTTACGAAGCAATTTTAAGTGAAGTATTTGCCTTGTAAATACTCGATAAATAAATGCCCTCTCCTTAGATACAATCACAACTTCCTTGTTCTGTTTAGTCTGGTTTTCTGATTACTCGTTGTTATCTACGAGTAAGTCCGAGAACCAGATATGTATGCATGTTTAAACGTGGAGTATACAATCGTTGAAAAATTTATATCATTTCAACGTCTGTATTGTCAATTTTCTCTAATAATTGTAAACTAAACTTTGGTTAGGGATAAAAGCCATGGTTTAAATAAGTTGATAATTTTAACAGCTTAAACAGTTTAACAAAATTGATTTTTACAGAATAATCTGCTTTAATTAAGTAATTAAAAAGCAATTGCCACCTTCTCCACATAATCAATTGAAACGGTAGCGGATGAAAAACGATATTATCTAAACAGTCAGAAATCGAATTGTAACAAAAATGTATGTGACTCCCAACCTCTCTGGTACAGATTGATCTGGGTTACTGGGTTAGAAAAGAATGTGCTGACTAATGCAAGATACATTTTTTTTTGTGAGGGGGGGGGGGGGTATTGTATAATTGTTGTCAAATAAACCACAGACCTGCAGCTTTTGAACATATGATCAGATTTATAGGCTGATAATCAATTACAGTTTGTTCAGTATGTTGTTTTACCGTTGTTAAAAATTAAAGTTTATGTGCCCTTGTGAATTCCAATAATCCTTGTACGAAATTCTGATTAGGTACATGCATATTTACCTAGACGACATCCTTGTATTTTTGAAGTATACTGTATCAGTTTATTTCCGTTGAGTAAGAACAATATGTAAACATTTTGAAAACCTTGTTTAAAATAGAGATTGCATGTAAATAAATAAAAATCTTTAAATTGAAACTAATTTAATTGAAGTATCTCTTGATCTTTAGATTAGAAAATAGAACGTTATGTCCTTTTGACATTTTGGAGGAAGTATTTATTCTTATGCTTTTAAAGATATTTATCTAGAAAATACAATATTCAATAAGTAAATAATATGATTCTTGATTTTCACATGAATTTCTTATGAAACAATACAAAGAATCAAAATTAAGTTTTCTCGAGTCCAAATATTTGAAAACTGCTAAATTATTTAAAAAATCTTGACATTAACACGACCGAAAAAGAATCCGGCCCATATAAGTATATTTCGTACTATAACTGAGAAATAACTACATGTATAGTAGTTAAACTTGTCGTTTCTAACAGTGGTCCTGGTGGCCTACTTTGTCTATCACTTTTAGCTGGTGGCTCGGAAAAGGCATTATCACTGATTGTTATTTAAGCATATAGTCTTGTTAAAAATAATGACCTGTTAAAAATAATCCCGTAGATAAATGACGGATTCAATAGGGATCGCAAGTCCTATATCTAGTATGAAAAAGGCAAACTGTCTGCACAACTTGTGCATTTTCGCTCACACAGGCGTCGGTCTCAACGTCCCGCTACTACTACGGAAGGGAAAAGTCCATGTCAACTCTTGATGTTTCAGTCTGTTAGATGTAACATGTCCAACATTTCTTTTGTTCAGTTAACATCCACTTGGAATTAGTAATGGCTCTTTCAAGAGCAAATAATTCAAGTCAGTATCGTATCTTATTAATTTCAAATTGATTTTTTTTTCAAATGACCATTTAATTTTTACCTTACATGGCCAATATTCAAGTTTAATCAAAGTGGGTAGGGAACAATTAATAACGTTTTTCTGATGTGTGATCTAAATAACTTAATTATTATATTAAAGATAACCTCACTGTTGACATGCATTTTATTACGATGAGTATTCTGACCCAGATTTATAAAGATATAATATACAGGTGAGAAGTCTGGAAAGACAGATTACCAAGGTGTAATTTGATCGCTGTGATCTTTCTATCTTAAAGAATACCAAATCTGAAATTGGTTGCAAATGAAATATTTATGAAAACAGAAATATGCCTTTGGTAAAAACACGGATCTCACTTACATGTAATATAAATCCGTGGTAAAAACAACTGCGTTTGGAAACATAAAACTTTTTGATTATGTCTACCAAGATGATTATTTACTCAAGTGACTATCTGAGCGCTTAAACTCGATAATGTTTATTGTGTGTCATCAGTACATTTAGCATTTACGTACCTAACCATTTATAAGGGATCATATTGCATATTGAAAATAGTAGAAATAAACTAGTAATTAAACACAATTAGTAAATAAAGAACACTACACAATAATGTTAACACATACTGTAACTTGTTTTTGTTTTTGCAGATTATTCATTTATTACAATCAAGGTACCTAAATTATCATGCTAAAATGATCCATAAAATTTGGCAATCATCTGTTACTTCAAAAAAATGATACTGTTTGACAAAAGACACAATGTACATGGGACAATCATAGGACTTCACCATCAGCATAATGTTATAAAACATGAATAAAAAACACGTGTCTTCTAAACTATTTTATTGTCATCATTACATACATAATTATACATTCTTGTAATTCATGTAAATAACTTTCAAATAAATACAAAAAAAAGAATGTAAATGTAATCCAGGACGGACAAGTATCACAGAAAAAAGTATCAAATTACTCTGAGACATAAATAATATGTGAATGTGAAAATAGCTACATCCATACGAGTATATCCTGATTCCGGTCAATGGAATGTAAAGTAAGATTCAATCTAAATACAGACGATTTTGTTGTATCAGTACCGTCATTTCATACTAGGACTGCTACATTTATAAAATGGAATAACCCTCATCTTACATATGAGCCAGTCCATTATAGCAGACTGAGGGATTTCAAACTCATAATGTTTAGTACTCATAAAACAGAATATTGAATAATATGGACTGGCAATTCAGATATCGACACCTTAGTGCAGTGACACCTTAGTGCAGTAACGGGTTAAGGTATTATCTAATTTAACAGGAGTTAAACCGTTACTGCACTAACGTGTCAATATGCATTTTTTTAGCTGTCTTTAGAAGTGCAAGTAACAAAATAATTAAGGTAAATAGGACTCAAAAATCGTTTTTGAGATTTGTAGTCAACCATGTAGTACAAAATGTAGCTTCACTTATGCCATCTTAGTTTTAGATAAATAGTTTCTAAACATAACATGTTTGAATTTTAACTAAGCGCATGTATATGGTTTTATTATAAAAAATAAACAAATTCCTATTAAACTAAGCTAAATAAAACATTTTCATAGCTGAAATAATTACAATACAAAAGTTAGTGTCCTTGGATTCTAGCAAGAAAAGGAAGAATAAATTTAGTGTACAAATAAGCCTAAAGACAACTGTGTGTACTTTCATGACCAACATATATTTCTTTAGGAATTAGATCATGAGCATTCACCATACCATGCCATATCTTATATGCATTAATCAAAACCTATATAAAATAATGTTGGCTAGTTTATAGTTTACATTCATAGTCATGTGAAGCATTATGTATCACAGAACAAGTTTTTTTTAAAACGCTTCAGCGACTGCTCCTCTTCAAATATGTAGCTCCTTGAAATATTTGAAATTATCAATATGCAGTAATTTCATACCTTAATGAAGTCAAAAGGAAAATTCTGAATTAAATTTGCAAACTAACAGTTACTGTATTAATTTAGATTTTTCTTAAGCAAGAATGTGTTTTATTTTACATATTGACCATTTATCTAGTCTAACATATAGATATTGATAAGTGTTAAAAACATATTCATATTTCACACTTGAAACTTTTTAGGAGCATCTACGGAAGAACACTACAAATCAAATCAATTTCTACTCGTACATTCTTTTCTTCAAACCATGAGCATATATCATTTCTTTTTAGCAATACAATGAATAAAATATTATCACTATAATTTAGCACATTACATCTAATAAAACAATCAACCCTCTTTATCTAACTCCGGGTATTGTAATTCCAAACTGCTCGCTAACTTGTTTTAATTTCTCTTCATAAAGTATATTTTTCTCTACTGATTGTTTATAGTTAAACTTCAAATCTTCTATTTCTTCAAAGAAGTCTGGTCCAAATGTGCCCAGCTCTTTTCTTAACTGAAACAAAAAAATAGAAAAGTATGATATACAAAAAAACAAGTACTTCATTTGACAAAAATATCTGCCTTAATTAATAATTCAAATATGATGACATTATATAGTTTGTTTTATATGGTCCTTGCATGGTCCTGGTATATTCTGTTTTGAGTAAAGTAAAATTATCTAAGTTATATAAGGTATATACAATGGCTGTCAGGTAATTTACCTACCCAAAGTGTTCTTGGATTAGTCAACAAAAGAAGTAAACTTGTTTACGATTTACACATCATGAAATGTAAATTCAAGCAAACTTAAATGACCAACAAACTGTACTCGGCTGACTTTTTAATCTTATGTATCTAAACTATTAATACTTAACACTCTTACATTCAATTGAGGTAAACTTTCCTTTCTTTTCATAATCCATAAATTTTTTATTAAAATAATTCATTTTTCATTTTATGAGAGTTCATTTATTAACTTTAACTAAATCTTGCTTTACAGAGAAGTCATACAATAATTACAAATCTTCAAATAGATTTTTTTGTCTTAATTCAACATTGTTAATCAATACTTACTCTGTCTACTTCCAGTTTTGTTTTGTCTCTTTCAAGGCGGATAGTTTTCAGTTCAAGTCCTAATTCTATATTCTCTGTCATCACTTTGTCGTAGTTATTTGCCTTCGTAAAGATTTCCTCACTTATCTGCTCAATTATATATAAAAGAAACAATTATTTCACATTTAAGATGTAATATACTTAAATTGTGTAATTTTCTTAAACATGTAACTGGCTTGAATTAAACTTCATCTTTGAATAAATCTTGTTATATCAAATCACACCCACTTATCAAAGGTCATGACTTTGCATAACAATTTTCTTTGTCTTAAAATAGAGTCCCAATTATTGTGCTCTAACATATAGTGACAGAAAATGGCCACAAAAACTAAGTTTGCTACAAAAATAATATAGATGCATTATAAAAAACTCAAAACATCATGAATCAGGGCATTTGATGACAGTTCTGTGCATATCCTTGAGAAATTGGGGAAGGAATTTTGTACAAAAGAAACTGTTTATGACCAGACACCCTCACTTTAATTGAAAAAAAACATAAAAACATTGTTTATGAGTGTTTACTAATTTCTAGGTAGATGTATTTCATTGACATGTTAAATGATATCAAAACACAATATTTCTGCACTTACATTCCCAGCACCAGCTTGTCTTCTAGCCATTGTAAGTTCAAATGAAAGTTCCTTCTTCTCATTCTCTAATCTGTCTATAGTCAACCTGAAACAGAGAGGTACTTGAGGAGTTAAGGGTACATCAATATCTATAGAAACAAACAGTTTAATGCCAAAATGTTTGATACTGTTGTCTGAAAACAATACTTATATGCATAATTTGAATTTTACTTATTTAATAACCCCCCTTTAAAATAAACTGCACAACAAAAGATAGAAATAGATACAGGCTCTAGAAATTGCTAATTTGGCAATTACCCGCAAAAAAACAATTGAAGTAAGGTTTAAAGCTGACAGTATATGATAAAATATACATAAATATCCTAGTAGTTTACCTGGCTTGTTGGTAGTCCCTGGCAACATCTATATCTGACATACCAGAGCTTCCTGGAGGTATCTTCTCAAGAACAGCAACCTGTTTCAATACAAAGGTATTCTTTCTAAATACAGTGAAAATAATGTGCCAAAGACAAATTCAAAAAAAGATGAAAAAGATACTACATGTAGTAATTAGTAATGAATGGTATGCTTTAAGAGCGGTTATTCTGAAGATTCTGCTACATAGAATGTAGCAACTATCTAAACACAACAAAAACAATGTATTCACCTTCTTTAAAAGCTGATCTTTCTCCGCCATTAACCTTTGTTCCCGGACAGCAGCTTCTTTCAACAATGTCTTGGTTTCTGACAAAAGTTTCGTCTACAAAAAAAATTAACAAGTTGTTTTTTATACACCTATTAGCAAAAACCAGTCTAAACTTTCAGGTGTTTCCCTTTAATCCTAATGCTTTTGAATTCACCTTAATATTGTCATGTTTAACATTGATGTATCATCATTTGACATCAGAGTACAGTTGAGTTCACACTAAAGGTTACACAAAGTGCACTAGGAGTGCACTAGATGTGCACTACTAGTGCACTTCAAAGTGCACTAGTAGTGCACTACTAGTGCACTTCATAAGTGCACTTTGTAGTGCACCAGACCTATTATAGGTATTAAGCAGTTACCTTTTATTTCAATGAATAGCAATTTGACTGATAAATATAGATATCTGTATAATAGTTTTTCATAATAAATTTGAAGTTGTGAATATTGGATTTTGTAAAATTTGGCGTAAAATGTTAGAACAATAATTTTTCAAAGTCATCATTTGTCCTGTTTTTAAAACTTAATTGTTAGAATAAGTAAATATAAATAGTTTATAACTTTAATGTTGATAAGTGCATAAATAAACAAAATTAATTTATATTTAATATGATTCTATTTTATTATAATCTGGTAATGAAATATGAAACATTGTTTTTTTTTTTTTTTGGGGGGGGGGGGGGGGGAGGGGGCAAATTATACCAATTAGTTATTTTTGATCTTAACTTATGGTTGTTTTAGTTAAAGGTAATACTTTTAAGCATTAATAGCCTTCAATACATTATAGATTTAATATGTTTATACTTGGCCAAAATTTTGTCAATTTTATCTCATTTATAATCTCTCTTACCTTCTGAAACTGAGATCTACCTAAGATTAATATAAATGATATATATTATTCTAAAAATAAATATTTATATATAAATAATGGGTATATTTAAAAGTATTGATATGTGTGGATTAATATTGAAATGTACCTGTGGGACAGCAGTATACTTTAATTGACATGGATATTAACAAAAAGATTAAAAAATCTTTCAATTCCATTTTTTGAGACGACACCAATCTTTTTTCTTTTTTCCATGCATTGTTACATAATTATGCAATATTATTATTTTTATGAGTTTATTATAAAATGCAAAAATATTCAGTTTCCTTTTTTCTTTTTTGTACTACTTGTAATGAAATTTATTTGCACCAACATCCAAAGAATACAGATTTTACATTGCCTACTTATATTTATCATCTGCCTTTTGTTATTTACCCTGAGGGGCTCTCTTATCAGCAGGGTACTATATTAAAACACCAATACACAGCATGACTTTTGACACTTTAATCTTCTGTTACTGTTTTCTGCTCATGTATGGTATTTTGTTAAAAATAAAAACAGATCTGCATTAAAGTAATATGGAAGAGTTGCAAAAGTTTTATAATCATGTATAAATTTCTTTAAAATATATTATCTTCTAAATGTGTTAAAACTGACAAGGTAAATTTGTCAAATCTATAATAGAAAAAAATAACATTTCCCAGTTCAGAAACTAAAAGATGATTTAAATGCAGAATTGCAAGAAATGTGGAAAATATTGATATGAGGTCTTTCCAGAATAGTTAACACTGATATTGATTTTAAACCAGTTTTTTTATGATAAGATTCAAAGACAATAATGGCAATTATACCTAACATGCGTTTATGCCATTTTTATTATTTTTTTACATTTGATTATACAAAAATTAAAGTCATTTATCTTAGATGTCTTACATGTATTTTGGGGGAAAAAAACAGGAAAATTTTAATAAATATAGCATACATCTGCATTTTTGTTATTTACCCTGAGGCCCTCTTATCAGCAGGAGACAGTATAATGAAAACAGGCGCTCTCAGAAAAATACAATACACAGCATGACTTGAGACTGTCCTCTTGTATAAAAGCATTCCCTTTAAACATTAAATTTTTAATATAGAAATCTTAAATAAAGTTATCAATTTATTTATTTCATGCACAGATATATAAGCTTATATTTAGCTCCATGATTTCATGGAATTTTTTTAATTATTTATATCTTTTAAAAGTATGCAGGCATTTCATGATTGAAAAACATAATATCAGTGTATCATCATGCAGTGTATGGATTGTTTTAAAATCAATGTATTAATATTCTCTTTCAATCTTGAACATGAGGAATTGCCTCCTACGTTATATACTATTATGTAGAGTGGCAAGAAATGTGGATAAATGGATATATATAGAAAATTCCGCTTAAGAGACAATAATATCTAACATGCATTTATGCCATTATGATTTTTTTTGTATATTTGATTAAACAAAAATTATGGTCATTTATCTATATAACAGACTAACAAGCCTGAGTGCCAACACCTGATGAATCCCAGGCTTATGTCTAACATGCATTTTGAGAAAACCAGGGAATTTCAATGCATTCTTATAATCCGCCAAAATTGACTGTTCTTTGCTATTTACCCTGAGGCCCTCTTATCAGCAGGATTGTGGTATAATGAAAACAGTCCCTCTCAGAAAATACCAATACACAGCATGACTTGAGATTTTCCTCTTCAATAAAAGTATTCCCTTTATACATTAAATTTTTAATATTGAAATCATGAATAAAGTTATCAAATTTATTTATTGTATGGATAATATTTTAATTATTTTTATCTTTAAAACATAATTATGCAAGCATTACACAGTTGAATACTAAATTATCATTATTATTGATTGTTTTAAAATCAATGTATTAATATTCTCTTTCAATATTGAACATGAGGAATTGTCTCTAAGTTATATATTATAGAAATAATATTTTAGCTGAAATATAAACCTTTCCTTGATTTGTTTGAGCTTATGAAAAAAAGTTTATGTTGTTACAAACTAAATTAATTAGGCCAGAATTATCACATTGATTCTCCCATTTGTACACTAGAAAAATTGAAATACATGGCCATTCAAAATAGCTTTAAAAAACACTTTTACGCAATTATCCATTACAGAGCATATTTAAATTTAACCTTATTAATTTTATAAATTTGATTTAAAGGGGTATTATTTTACGGAAGACGGACAAAACCCCACCAGTTAAAACCCCACCACTCAAAATTTTATAGAGTGGACAAAACCCCACCACTTAATTTTAAAGAGTGGACAAAACCCCATCACTAAATTTTACAGAGTGGACAAAACCCCACCACTTACCAATTATTGGGCACGATTTGATGAATTAAAATATATATAATATACAGTACACATCTTCACATTTTATTTTTTAATTTCAATTTTAAGAGATTATACAAATAATTTACAAACTGTTAAATCAACATCAAAGAGCAGTCATTTATTTGAGACTGTGCCACATTTATGACCTTGAATTATCCATTATTTTTAGTTTCTTCAAATTCATTTCTTCAATTTATTTATATAAAAAATAAACTACTTACTATTTATCAAGAATGAAGCACATTTTCACCAATTAATGATTAAAAAATAGCACATATTTATAGCACATTTTTTAATTTATTCAGTTCAGTCAATTTTCCTTCATTGTACTTCATTGTACTTTGTTTAAGTGGATACTGTGGCTGATAGCCTATAGAAACTCGGGTACAGTCTTCTCCTTATTGATGAGTTGTTCACACATTCTTTTGGGTTTCTGCTGATGCACAATTGTTAGTTTTTTAACATGTTTACAAGAAAGTTTTGTCCACTCTATAAAACTGAAGTGGTGGGGTTTTGTCCACTGTGTAAAATTAAGTGGTGGGGTTTTGTCCACTCTATAAAATTTAGTGGTGGGGTTTTGTCCACTCTATAAAATTTTGAGTGGTGGGGTTTTAACTGGTGGGGTTTTGTCCTACATTCTTATTTTACACCTACAGTTAATTACTGGTTAATTTAAAATATGATTACAATAAATATATATTTTTTTTAATTTAAAGCTTTAACATGATATCACCTAAAATGTTAAAATTTACTTATTTATATTCGTGAATAGGCCATATATTTCCAAAGTTTTTTTTCTTACAGCAGCTTAACAATAGATGCCCCCTGTCACTTGATATACAATTATCCAATAAACCATTTAGGTGTCACCTTTCCCTGGCCAGCCTGGTCATATGGTCTAGTGCACTAGAAGTGCACACGGTGTGCACTTCTAGTTCAGCTCTAGTGCACTAGAAGTGCACAAGGGTGGGAAGTTTAGTGTGAACTCAACTGTAGTTTATTTAATGACAGGAACAAAAAATAGTTATGAGACCCTTCAAAACTGAACTAAAATAGAATTTAAAGCAATACTTCAATCTAAGAAATAAATTTATTTGTTCAGATTGAAGACTTGACAAAAACTTGATGCAAAACCTTGGTACTTCAAATTGTCTTCATACATTTTGTATTAGTGTTCTTACCATCAAAGTACATAAATAACTTTATTCAGACTTCTAAAATTTCCCTTTATATAAAAAAAACTAAAAGAAACATAAAAATGATAGTGTAACATGAGTCTCTATCACCAGAACAAATTTTAATTTAGTTTATACCTTTTTATCAACCTCTACCTCCAATGATTTCAGTCTATCTTCATACATGCGTGTAACAACAGCTGATTTCCATCCCTTCCCATCAGCCCCTTGTCCATCCTCAGTCTTCCCTTCCTCAATCTGGAGTCTTGTCCTAGACTCTGCCATCCTGCCTTTCTGTTGCTCGATCTTGATCTCCAGGGAAGTTATCTGAGCACGAAGTTTTTCATTGCTATCCATTTCCTTTGTGAAAAAAAAAATTATGTTTAGCAATGCATAATTTTTTTAGCAAAATATTATCTATGTGTGTAAGTGCACTTAATTAAACGTACAAGGATTTCTTATTTAGTTATTTTGATAATGCAACACACAAGAAAAGAGCATGGTTACATTGCATGCATTTGCAAGCTTGTCTGACCCTATACTGCTGAAATAGGTCTTTTACAAGCTCAAAGACTAAAACTTGCCTTCATGAGATCTTTCCTCATTTTCTCATAATCGTTCATCATTTTAGCTGTGCCTTTCTGTTGACTGGTGTATCTCTCACTCAGCGTGGCTCCAATCTTCTGTCGCAATTCGTCCAGTTGAGACTGTAGGAAAAGAAGAGTACAAAATCTTTACGAATGTTTTTTATGGTTAGGTTTAATTTACATCAATTTTTAAAGGCATTATGCCAACATTTCAACCTCAAATTCTTTGCAGTCCATTATTTCAGGCAGTAGTAAGCACATAATTAGAATCAGCTACATTTTGAAAGCTTGGTAAATAGCTTCTCTACACAAGTGGAACTCAAAAGTACCTTAAATGGGTTTCAAACCTATAGTCATGAAGGGCACATAATTAGAATCAGCTACATTTTGTAAACTAGCTGTACAGCTTTTCTACATGAGTGGAACTTTACTATGCCTTTTTGTCTGAATAATGTTTTGTTGAAAAAATAATTATCACACTCTAAAATTCAATAGCCAAATTAAGTTTTTTATTTAACTAAAACTTTTAGTGTATTGTGCTTGAAACTGCAAGAATTATCTTAACCCATTACTTCATGAGCATTTTGCGAAAAATGGCTGTTTTCATTGAAAAGTCTCCCGTTACAAGTTCAAATTGCTATAATACTATAAAAACTGCTTCAACACTAATCAAACTTGGCACAAATGTTGACTGGACCATTGCCCTTGCAACAACATGCTCAGGCTTAAATTTTCTGTTACCATGGCAACGAGGGGACATCTCAAAATTGCCAAAAATCACTATTTTGCGTTGATTTCTTCCATCATAATTGATTTCAAAGTGCTGCAACTTCTCAATGGATTGAGATAGAGTCAAATGCTTTTCAGCGTTGGTTACACGTTACCTTATGATCAATCTGAGGTCATTTATAGCCTCTCACAAGTCCAAAAATTTTCTTGGCGATGAGGGGGACTCCGCCCCCCTTCAAACCCCCCAAACAGAAGGGGGCACATCCCCCTTCTGGCAACCCCCTGATGTATCTTTTGGTTGGGGGGCTGCGCCGAAAAAGTGGTCACTTTTTTTAACAACATTTCTCAAACAAAAACAAGTGTTGGGGCCTAAATAAGGCATTTTTTCACCATTTGAGACAACAAAAAGGGGGGGGGGGGTGAAAAAGGCGTTAAAAGGCGTGTATATGAAGTAATGGGTTAACAGAAAATGATGAAAATACTTGAAATTACCCTAAATCGCGTTTTTCCATGTTTAAACATGGTCTGTCATATAAATTTGAAGAAAAATTGTTGTTTTGTAGATTTTTTTATTTTTTTCATTAACCCATTACTTAATGAGCATTTTGCGAAAAATGGCTGTTTTCATTGAAAAGTCTCCCGTTACAATTTCAAATTGCTATAATACTATAAAAACTGCTTCAACACTAATCAAACTTGGCACAAATGTTGACTGGACCATTGCCCTTGCAACAACATGCTCAGGCTTAAATTTTCTGTTACCATGGCAACGAGGGGACATCTCAAAATTGCCAAAAATCACTATTTTGCGTTGATTTCTTCCATCATAATTGATTTCAAAGTGCTGCAACTTCTCAATGGATTGAGATAGAGTCAAATGCTTTTCAGCGTTGGTTACACGTTACCTTATGATCAATCTGAGGTCATTTATAGCCTCTCACAAGTCCAAAAATTTTCTTGGCGATGAGGGGGACTCCGCCCCCCTTCAAACCCCCAAACAGAAGGGGGCACATCCCCCTTCTGGCAACCCCCTGATGTATCTTTTGGTTGGGGGGCCGCGCCGAAAAAGTGGTCACTTTTTTTAACAACATTTCTCAAACAAAAACAAGTGTTGGGGCCTAAATAAGGCTTTTTTCACCATTTGAGACAACAAAAAGGGGGGGGGGGGGGGTGAAAAAGGCGTTAAAAGGCGTGTATATGAAGTAATGGGTTAAGAGACAGACCTTAATCCAATACAATATTTCTCTTTTATTTGTTTTAATTTAATCAATGATTTTCTAAGATAAAACATTCCTTATACATTGTGTACATGTACAAGTTATTTGCATGATTTTATTTATATCTTTAACTTTTATTATTGAATATATAATTATTTAATGACTTGGTTACAAAATGTAACACTTTCAGGTTGTGATATAATTTTCAAGAACACAAAAAAGGAAGTCATTTCTATAAAACTACACTGTCACCTTTTAGCACTAACATTTTTTTATTTTATTGGGTTTTATGTTGCACAAACACAGTATAGGTCATATGGTGACTATCCAACTTAAATGTTGAAGTAATACCTCATGTGCTCCTCTTTGCATTATTTCAGGCACAAATGGCACCTGAGTAGAACCACAGACATTTCAGTAAGCGAGCGGGATAGCTTTCTCACATGAAAGAATCCAAAGACACTTGCATGGCTCAAACCTACAGCAGTGAAAGGCAAGTGATTTGAAGTCAAAGAACTTAACCACACAACCATGCATACACCCTAGGGTTATGAATGTACAAGTATGTTTACATCTACTTACATTTTCAACAATTCATTAGCATTTCTATGATCTGTATTCAAAAGAAAATCATCTTCATGATCATCATTATCAACATCATAATCATAATCATCAACAACAACAAAATAATCCTTACTTTAAGTCCTTCATTCTCCATCTGTAGATTTTGAAGTCTTTCATTACTGACAACACCAGGTGCTTTCTTTAATTGTTCATTTTCAGACTGGACCCTTTCTACAACTTTCTTTAAAAGAGCGACAGTCTTCTCTAGTTGTCTAGTGCTCTTTCCACTCTCCCCAATCTAAAAACATTTACACATTTTGTCATTACATTGAAATATCTAAAGTATTGATACATTTTGTCATAACACAATAAGAACATCAAGTTCCTTCTAATACAGAATTGAATGATCCGAGTACAGATGCATAATATAGAGTATTATAAGCAAATAAGCTTAATACAAAGTATCTGTATATGCAAATAGAAAGAGAATGACAGAAAATATGTTGGGTTCATTTACATCATGCCTGACATCATACAGCATATCAACAGTATTAGTCCACTTTACACTATTAAGTTAATTTTTAAAACTATCCAGTCTTACAACTAGAAAAGACCTGAGGTGATTCTCTGTTGCATTTTTCAGGCACCTTAACAAAAAATACTGATTAGTAAAATAGCTGGATTGCTTTCACATGTAGGTCTCATATAAACCTAGAGAATTTGAAAACCCTGTTGTAAAATAGTTAAAACCCCTAAATCCCCAAA